AATTGCCAGGAATGTGTGTTAATGACCTTGATCTTAAGAGACATAAACTAAGAAATTGTGTTATCAGAGAAGTCTGAGAAGAGAAGGGAGTGGGGTGGGGGGTGCAGACCCTGTGGCTCTCCTGCATGGGGGCTGTGGAAAGATTTCTACCGTGAACTCTAAGACGTCTTGCCTTTTTCATGCCTTGGTTGGCAAGAACAATAATCAACTGACTCCTCAATCCAGTCTCTCAAAGCAAATAGAGAACCATACTCATTATTTAAAACAAACAGAAACCAAAACTAACAAACAACATCACTCCCTTCCTTCCGCAGGTACTGGGCTTTGCTAGCAATAAAAGAAACATCCCAAGAGTGGTTCACGGGGAAGGAAAAAGGTCTGTATAGAAGTCTCAATAATCTGAGACATACAGGGTTGAGGGGACTTTGGAGCCACAACTTCCATCCTCCTTCAAACTGTCCTTGACGCCCCACCCTGAGTCTCAGCTGCTTGTGACATCCCTGACACCGTTCTTGGCCAAGGCCAGGCATCTTTTTTTTTTTTTTTTTTTGCAACCCGTATATATGATCTCCAAAGCCACACTAAGGGTACAGCAAGATAGTTTGGCAACTAATTGTCACTACAGGTCACCAAAATGTCAAAGGAATCAATGTGGATTGGTCCCACTACTAGCAAGCTTGAGAGGGGACAGAAAATGTTACTCACTAGCAAACCTAGTGGAGTCTTTTTGGAAATAGTGTGGTCAAAAGTGAAATTCACAATCCCAGGCAGCTAAACTCTGCCAGTAACAGGTATACAACATGGTGCTTCTTTGTTGCTATTATTTCTATCATTATTATTGATATTATTAGTAATAGTGGTATTTTTATGATACTAAGGATCAAACCAAGGGCCATGCACATGTTATGCAAGCACTATAAAACCTCCTCATAGCAATACTTCAGGTCATTGTCTAAAACTTAAGTTTACTATGTCGTCAACAAATCAGCACTTTGGAAAACTGCAGGACAATATGATAAAAAAAAAAAGGAGAATCAAAGAAGAATCAGAAAAATGTTGTCACATTGTTTTCTGCAGAATATTCCTATTGGATGCTGCGCGAAGAGTGAATTAGTATGAATCTGCCTGAGGTATAGGATATAACTCGTGATTGGTTCAGGCTGACGTTCGTTAGAGACCACTGTGACAGAAGGGCAAATCACGCACCGTTGCAATCTCCTTTGTATCTTGGTCAGCCCGTATGACACGGGTTCACTCAGAAGACTTTTTTCTAGAATGACTAAGAGATGATTTGCTGACCTTCTTGATGTGTTTCATACAGTAGAATTAGAGACAGTGAACGAATATTCCCCCAGAAGTGGCCACTCAGAGCAAACAATACTCTGCAAGGGCTGGATACAGTCCAGATTTCCTAGTAATCTTAATTACTAAATCAGCATGATTACATGGTCAATTAAATTGACTGTAGATTAGTTTAAGTGACTGAAGGAAAAAAGCACATTGATCTTTTTCCTCTAGGTGCTACTTTACATGAAATAAATATGGTCTTTTCTAAGTATCTCTGGGACATAAGATTTATTATTGCTCTGTGTTACACTTTCCCAATTACTACATTCCTTAAAAACATGAACATTATTTTACACATTCGACATAAATTTTCTTAGGGAACTGTAAGCTTACTTTCACTTTGCTAAAGGTCTCTTTCAAAATGTGATGTCTTTTTCGCAGTTTCATTTCTGACTTTAGACACATCATCCACCTTGTCTGGGATAAAATTCAAACTCAAATCGCAGGCTGGGAATATAGCCCAGTGGCTTAGGGCCTACCTGGCAATCACAGTTCCATGAGTTCAATCCCCAGGACCAAAAAGAAAAAAAAATTCCGACTCAGTATTGCTTAATAACCCCTTGATTTTATCTCTTTTTTTTTTTTCACACCCTGTCGACTGACTCCGAGGCACAGCGACCACGTAACACACTGTCATGTGCCTGCTCTGGGGATTTTGTACTCACTGTGTCTTCTGCCTAAAGCTCTTGTTTGTAGATACCTGCCAAGCACGCACTCTCATATACTCAGGGTCTTAACAAATGTCCCTTCATCAAAGAGACCTTCCATAAAATCTCTACATGAAAACAAAAACCAAAGCAAAACAAAACCAAAAAAGCCCTACTCTATGATTCCATAATTTCTTAACTTTTCCTGTCACTTTACTGTCTTGTTTGCTCCTTAATATTCTTCCTCAAGTATTTATGTATCTCTTGTGTGTCTCCCAATCTGTATTCTAGGTGCAGAAGCACAGTGGGAAAGCAGGAAGTAAAGGGAGACTCAACCTTTTCTCTCAAGACATTTACAGTCTAGTTAAAAAGACAATATTTGCACTTGTGAAGTATTATAGAGAACCATAACACATGGTAAGCTTGTCAGACTGTGTGGTTCAGATCAAAGTAGACAAGTTTTATAATTCTCAGTTACCATTATGGGTCACCACCCACTGCATTCCAAGCATTGTTAGGGTCAAGGGATACCGAAGCAACTAAACTAGAGATCTTTTATTTCGTTCATTGTTTTGCAATCATAAATCTTGCTGTGAAAACTCCATTGGATTTAAGAAAAACTTGGCAGGTTAGGGAAACCTCCTTCTCGGTGTGTCTGGGCAGGCTGAGAAGGTTTGACTTGGATACCACGTGGTCCTGGGTGGGTTCTTGTCTGGCACTGTCCTCTCCTCTGCTTCTGGCCACCATGGACTGACCTCCACCAACACCTTTCCATTTCCACATTGCTGCCCTGTTGACATGGACGAGAGCTCCCAGACTCTCAGATAAATTATGGGAGTTAGGTATCGTGCCTCAAAGATGGGAAAACTAATACACCCCGCACTAATTTTAGTTGAACATTTATTCTACTGATGGTACAGAGGATCACCATGTGACAGACACTGAGATCCTGAAATTAAAGATGTGTTGGGCCTAAATATAAGCCTTTTCTTTCTCTGTTCTCAAGCAAAGAAGATAAATGATTTAAGTATCAGCTTTCTCCTTGAAAGCCCTTCAGTTTTAAGAAACACACGGACTTGTGCTTTTGTATCTTGCAAACCTTAGTGATCTTTATCTGTCTGAGTTAATTTCTTTCATTCATAAAATATTTTTGACATCGAATTGGAAATACAGCTTGATTTTATGGTTACAGAAAGACATGACGTACTTTGTGAATTAATTATTTTTGACCCCTGAATGCAACCTGAGTTCAGCTCTTCCAGCAAATTAAACGCTCTCCAGCCTCACCCGGGTGCCCAGCAGTGGTGAACCCCTTCTGCTTTGTGGTTTCACCAAGACTTCTGGCCTCCTCCCAATAATCTTCTGTATCTTCTTTGCTTGAGTAATGCATTATTTCCTTATCTTTGTTCCCACGTAAACATGCTTTCTTTCTCCACAGAGGCTGAAGTGTTATCTTTCTAAGTGGTGTTCCTGCTATAGACATCTTCTAGCTTTTAGTATTCCCACGTCTCCTCCCACCAAAGTGAACATTTTCTGCAAACTCTAAGCAGACATTTGTGTATGCAAACAGTTTGGGCTCGGTGTGAGATTTTGACCAAGATTTAGGATAGTTTCCGTGTTATAAACAGGATTACTCATCCCACAGGGATGCCTCGTTACACAGCTTCTATAGAGCAAGGGGAGAGAAGTGGTAACAAGTTATGGGAAATGGGAGAAAGGCCGTTCTCCTGCTCTGGGAGTGGAGATGGTTGATACGGAAGATTACACGAGAACAAAGATTGCATTGCTGGCTTATGTCATTTATGCTCTACTTGTACTATATTATTATGGACTAGTTCTATTGTCTTGGTGGACAATAGAGGGTTTTATTTCCACATTATATACAGAATGCCTGTATGGTCTCTTTCTTCCCTCCTCCAGATGCAGAAAGATATTTAGTATCAGGTTTCTGAAGGAGTCCTGTCAAAATGAGGAGGTATAAACATTTCCTTTCCTCCTCTTCTCTTCCCCCACGTTAGCTCCCTGTAATTCTCCCGTTGTTAGAGGACAGTACATGGTAGCACATTACCGTGCAGCAGTCTTGGGCAACTCTGAACAACCAAAAATAAAGGATAAACTAGAACCCCAAGAGAAAGTCTTCTATGGCAAGTGTCTAAAAAGCCAGATTTTAAGTCATTTAAGAGAAAATGATTTAATCATATGAACTCGGAATATTAAAGCAGACTCTTTATCTTTCTTCCCTTTCTTTGTCCCTCTCATCAAATAGATCCATAAATCTGAACTGCTAATTCGCAAATAAACACATAAGCGTATGTACAACCAAGTAAAACATAAATCATAAAGACTAAGCCAACTTTTTTTCCCCTGTGATTGAGACAAGAAGATAGAAAATAATCCATGTAATTTATAACAATAATCCAATGTCATTGTCCTAAATATCCTAAATTGTCCATGCTGACTGTAGCAATTAAGGGCTGTCCCTTGTTGGTGACAAATCCCTGTCCTCCACATGTGCTCAGTCTTAATTATCCCCCATTAGTCTGTTCATTACAAGTTTTCCCTGGTCAAATTGCTTTACTGTTAAGTAACTGCCACCTAAAGCCATGCTGACCTGTCTCTGGCCAAAGAAAATTGGTGTAATGGGAACATGGCTTTTGTGTCACCTCATTTATTTCAGCGCTCTGTGGTGCGGAGTGCCCACTGTCAGAGGAGCAATGCTGAGAGGGGGACAGCTCAGGGCCACAGGCTCCCCGCGCTTGCAGAGGGAGGGAGGGAAGAGGACAAATTGGACCTCAAATTATGACAGCCACTGTCCTTTGACAAATGTCGTGCAAGACACTCACAGAGTCTGTCTCGCAAACTACGCAAGCAAATCTCGGCCACAACTTCTGCAGAATAAGCTTCTATGCTTTTGGAGAGCTTCCAAAGGCATGGCTGGTTTTATTGGTTCATTAATCAAGGCAAACTCAGTCCTGTGAGGAATAAAAAATAACCCTCCCACGTTACCTGTTTTCTCTCTTTTATTCACGCTGCTCCCATCTCTTATCGTACCACACCTCCAGTGTTGCAATCATTTCCCAGCTGACCTTTCTTCCTCCATTGCCCCTCCTTCCTCTGCTTTATCCTGCAGAATTCTCTCACCTCTGTTTTCTTAAAGCACAGCCAAATTGCCAAGCTTCTACTCAAAATCTCTGATAGCCTCTCCTGCCTATAAAACTAAGTCCAAACTTTAAGCTTGATAAGCTGGTTCTCAGCTACTCTCATTTTCGAGCCTGACTCTCCCTCAAGGCTGAACTCTGAAGCCGACGTCTTTTGGACTGTTTCCTGGCCATTGATTGCCTTACTTGTCTCCCTGGTGCAGCTTCTGCTCGGGTTGTTTAGCCCATCACTGGCCTCGTATTTACTATTCAGCTCTAGAATGTTTCCTTACTGTAGACAGAATCTCTTCTATTTCAGAGTTCTGGAGCACATGGTCTATGTGGTGGAGATGAGGACCATCATATACCCAGTATTATTGTACAGATACCAGCCTTAGATTGCAGGCAGAAATCATATCTTGCATGACAAATTACCTAACACAATGCCTTGTTGGTGATAAGGGTAGAATTGATTGAATACTTTAAATGAATTAATAAAACAAAATACACACACACATGAAAACACAGCTAAAAGGGGGGTAAAGGACCATGACTTTTAAGAGAAATAGAAAAGTCATTTACTAGTCAGTGAAATGACTAACACAGAATGTGAACAGAACATCCAATAAGCCATTTGTTATTAAAACTGCGACTAAAGACAATAATTTTGGACCCAGACTGAATGCTCTTATGTGTCCTGTCTGCATTAAAACTGAATATTCTCAACCAGACACCATACTTTTGCAGGTCAAGGCAAGTGATTCTTTACCATCAGCATTTGCTGTGGTATTTCAGGAATGAGCTGGTCATTTACACCATTAGAGTTACAAGCACTAATGAACCCATGGTCAATTCATAAGGTTGACTCAGGCCACAAGATCATGCATGTCTAATAATGAATTCCATTAAACCTGTGAAAAAGTTTGGAGCTGGAAATCTGAGAACAAATGCAAAGGTAATGTTTACACTGATCTTTAAATATCCTTTGAATAAACATAAAAGCTAATAAACCATTCATTAAAAACAGGAGGAAGATGATATCATAACCATCAGAAAGATTTTGAATTATTGGATAAAATGCCCTATGCTATATTGGTAATGTTTTCTATGGGAAGCAATCCTCCAAAAATTCATTAATATGATCAGATCATACACAATAGAAAGTAATCACCATACTATTTGACTGCCACTTGTATGTCAATTTAATTTAGGAAACAACATAAATAGGTCAGACACACATTTTTCTGTATCAAAAGGCTGGGCATTACAAAGATCTCAGATATTTCAAGTATGAAATGTTAGACACACTCAGGGTCTGTATGTGCATTTTCACAAATGTCCTCGGTAGAAGCCTGGAGCAGTTTATCACCCAAGGGATGAAGAAGGTTTGGAACCAGAAGGAAGTTTCTGCCTTCTATTTCAGACTCTGCATGGAGATGGCACACTGATTAGCTTTTGGAGATACCAAGACAACCAATTTGAATACTGCCTACTTTCCAGGATATATTCTTTCCTGGATATATTCTTATGATCAACTGAAATCAATCATTGACTTCACTAACTTTGATGGCGTAGATACAAGAGTAAATAAAAGAGTTGCCTGACTGGTGTGATTTTAAGTGTAGATCATTGAAAGTCTACCAAGAGATCTTTCCTTCTGTTTTTAAAATCATTCCTCCTTTTAAAATTGCCAATAATTCTCCAAACAACAAGCTTTCAAAGCTCTTATTCATTGGTATATTGGACTTAGTGGAGACTCTCAATACCCCAAACCTCAGAGAAGGATGTGCACAGAACAAGACAATTTCAGAGCAACACATATAAAAAAAATGGGGTAAGGGGAGAAAATCAGGCTGGGGATTTAGCTCCGCAGCATAAGTGCCTGCCTTGCAAGCGCATGGTCGCAAGTTCAATCCCCAGCACCAAAAAAAGGAGAAAAGATCATTCTGGAGATACAAAAAAAAAAAAAAAAAAAAAAACCTAAAACAATAACCAAATATGTGAACATAAGAACTTGTACCAAAAGATAGTGACTTCAGCTTCATCAGAAATCTTAGCGATATATTAAATATGTAACGTTCCTATTTCATTGAGAGTTTGACTCCAATTATTACTACTATTTACAAATGATATTTGTTTTCTCTACTTTGCAATAGTGCAACAGGTACTTAACTAACCTAATAAATCCTTCCCTGAAAGCTGACCCTGGGGCAAAAATGTCAGGCACACAGGACTTCAAATAAAGTTCAAAGTTTCTCCCAAACGAAGCCAGTTCTTAGACACAGAATGGAGATCACTCCTGGAAGACATGGAGACAGGATGGATCTGGGAAGAATGCTGGGTGATCCAAGAGGAAAAATATTCTTTGCGGGCTCTGAAGCAAAATGCTAAGTATCTCTGCAACAAAAGGAGTAAACTAAGATTTGTTTCAAAAATGTTTGCCATGGTTTTATTTCCATGCTTCCACAAATTGCAGTGGACTGATTGCTGTTATGCTTGACTTTCCTATTTCTCCTCCAGAAGTGAAAATGCTGTGTGACTCCGCTGACCTCCAGTGAAGACGCTCGCGGCTCAGTGACAGAATCAGTCACTGGGAACACACTGAGCAGCTCTTTGGCCCTTCATCAACTTGCTTACTCTGCACAGGAAGCAGAGGGTCACTGAGGAGTCCTAAGATTTAACTTCCTGAGTTAGTTTAACAACAAGAACTGCTGCTGAGAATGGTGCCTGGATTTCAATATAAAGGCTTGCAAAAACATTCATTGTGGGCTATGGTTTTCATCAGGAAAGAGAGGTTGCGTTTTAATGGGATCTCATGCACATACCAGGTCCTGATTTTCCTAAATTGCTTTCACTAAGTGGAATTCCTTTAGCAATGCACAGACACCCCTACCCTCGCCTGCCCCAGGACAAACTCTTCCAGCTCTCCAATGGAACTAGATTCTGACAAGTTCAAGGTTGAGCCATGGCTGTAATAAATTCGCCTTTAAACATTCCCATTTATTTATTTTAAATTCTTTGGTTTCATATATTCTGGTTTAATAAACCAAAATATACATAACAATGGCACTAAAACCCTCAGCCTTTCAGCCTCTTTATTCTCTGCTTATTAATTCACTTTGGTTAGCAGCATATTTATTACCCTCCTGACTGCGTAAAATGCAAAATGGATCATTCTGCTGAGAGTGGGGAACAAGGAAATGGCTAACAGTAAGTTTTTCACATTTTTCTTCTCCATTTCTTTCAGTGCTGTCAAAGAATGTCAGCTTCAGCTGGGTTTTCCAAACGTGGTGTTTTTCCAAAACTCTTGAGTAAACTTAATTTCGAATCTTTAAAATGCCAACCGCAAGCGTTTCCTTGAGCACAGCCTGTAGGACAGCAGCCCAGGTTGTCGTGGTGAAATGGGTGAGGAGTGTGTGGCAGGCAGCCCATGAAACTGCAAGCAGCGCAGGCCAAGGCAACTCACAGCCCAGAGCGGAATTTAGGTCACCAGGCTTCTCTGAGGCAGCAGCTGTCGGTGTGGGACTTCCATCTATGACAAAGTTCCCAAAGCCCCCCTGCACGCTGGGGCGTCCTCTCTAGCTGTAAACACTGCAATTTTCTTAAACCCTCTATTGCTCTGGCCATGTGTCATTCTTCACATTTAATTGAGGGCGCTCTGCCACATGAGCTAGAAAACATTCCTCCTGCACGCGCATATGTGTGTGTGTGTGTGTGTGTGTGTGTGTGTGTACGCATGCGCACAAGAAAAACTCAGACAAATGCTCCAGAGACACTTGTTGAATTTCTCCCATTTAAAAGCGTATTTCTGCAGAGCAAGCTAAATATTAATATTGCATTCCTCTGTCAACGTAAACACCAGCAGCAAGCTTGGCAGCTCTGCAAAACACAGGAAGACATAGTCTTCTCCCCAGATGCAGTGTGCGTGTTTTTTCCTAGGTACCATTTAAGTTAACTCCATGTCTACAGCAGTGCGTCTGAAATAGCAGGAATTCAGTGACGCGGGCAGACCCTGAGAGAGCTAAGTGGTGGTCTCCCAGGCCTTTGCCCATGCAACTAGTGAACGCAGCTTTTGTTGCTAAGAAATCTCTAATTTGGCCTGTCTTAATGCAGTTATATACTTGAGTTCGTTTATTTGACATGACTTTTTAAGTACACACGGGAAATTACCTTTTACTAAAACATTGGTCTGCCTTTTGAATGTAGACAGACAGTCTGAGCATTAATACTTTATGATCATTTTGTTGTTATTGGTGGTGGTGGTGGTGATGGTGGTGATGGATTGTTGTTGGTGGTGCTGGTGATGCTGGTGGTGGTGATTTTCCCTTTTTGGGTACATTGTTAAGGAGAATTTTTAAAATGGTTTACCCAAATGTGAGTTAGGATTTCCAAATTTTAAAATCAAAAGTTATACGCTCAGACATAGAGTCCCTGCATATCACTTGCTACACTGTATAAAATCTTAAGCAAAGAATTTTTGCTCAGTTTAACTAGAGGAAAAAGAAAAGCATTTCATTTCCACAATAGCTAGTATGTGAGATAGGAAGATTTATGCATATCCACCGCTTTCTTTGAAGATGAATATTCAACTGAAGAAATAGAAGGAGATCGGAACCCTAATATTCAGCCACTCGGAAAGACAGGATGAAGGCAAAGCTTGGTGGAAGTAGGGCAAATGGAAGCCCTAACCCTGCTTAGAGAGAATGACACTCTGAAGACTTCAGGGAAGCAAGCAAGGATGACTGGAAACGGAAATAAGTCTGAAAGATGCTGGACAGGAAGTCTGGTGTCCTGGTCAGGCATCTGAGACATTAGCAGTGAAAGCAGCCATGGTTTAAAGGTCCCAGTCAGGCAACGCACTCAGCACTTTCCTGTGGTGTCTCACAGCGTCCTCGGTGCAGCCCTGGGAGGTCAATGTGGTTATTGCTCCTGTTTCAAATGTGACATATGAGTGTGTGCTTGTGTGTGTGCACGTGTGTTTCTGTAATGCAGTCAGAGCAGTGGTCAGCTGTGGTAGATGTAGGTGATCTCTCCAGACCTGTCCACTTGCTCCAACTATCAGGGCATTACTTGCTATG